CTGCTTACTCTACAAAATGTTCTTCAAGGCCAATTTCTCATCAAGGCGGTAAATTTATGCGTGAAGTTGCGTCGATCCCGAGAAACAAATATGATATCAGAGTGAAGCAGCTTCAAAAGCTCAGACGACAACGAAGCGCGGGAGAGCCATTGGCTGCCCAATTGAAGGAGAAGAGCACATCGACATTGAATTTGCATCCACTAACTTGTGAGGAGAAGTGACTTTTTTATCCCAGCCTTATCAAATCGAGTAACCATATATGTGTCCAGTGGAAAAGACTCCATCTACTACTTCTCCCATTCTACTGTTCCGGGACAACGGAATTATTTTATGTACTGTGGGATGTAGAGAGACTTGCAAGCTTAAGGTCAATTGAGAAGAGACAAACGCTGAATCATTGAGTACTAGAAAGCCTGTGGAAAGGATGTACTAAGCTTCGCAGGACCATTCAAGTCTCAGCATCAAAAGGCTTACCCTTGCGAATATCAGAGGGGATGGAAAGGAGCCAGTTCCACCTCAGCTAGTCCTCCATATTTCCTTGCTATACTTACTCAAGCATTGTGATGATTACAGCTTCTTCTTCTCATCATACAATCTCCTGCAGTGGGGAAGGTGGGATTCGATATTTTGTCCAATTGAGAAAACTGAATTTCTGATTTTTCTGCTATCTTTATAATATGACATATTCTGGCAATTTTTGGGTATGTTCTGTGTTACAGGACCTTTAATCTCACCCAGTAACTTGCATTGTGTGGCAGTAATTCATTCTTTCTAGATGTCACGATCAGCCAGTCATCAGTAAGGCTGCATTTTCTGCTTCTTTGCAACATAGGATACTCATTTTCCCTACAAAATTAGGTCTTCCTGTAGGCTTCAGACGTGGGAAAGCTCAAACATTTACTTGCATGACCACTCTGCCGAGATATTTTTACAGAGCCAGGCATGCTGTCAAAGTTGCCAATAAACGGTTTTGATAGGATGCCATCCTATCACATACGCTGGGGCTACCAAATAGGTAATCAAGGGGTATGACCCCAGAAAAGATGTT